TCTGCCATTTTCTCCATTACCCGAGGTCAGCTATGCTCAAGAAAGGCTTCGTACATGCGATTCTGAAAAATCAAAAATTGGCCAGATATTTGTAAATGTTCTTAAGTTTATAAAGTTTTATTTTAGTAAATATGTAATTTCTTTTCATTGTTGAATATTTTGTTTAATATTTCATAGTTTTCTTGTCGAAAGAAGTAAATTCAGGAAAACAAATTATGCTCCATTTATTTCAAATGTTAAATCTCTCTTTTAAGGTATCATTAATTTTGATATAATAACGCCTTTTGTACTTGCAGCAGTATGACACTTCTGCAGCTGATGGCATCCCTTCATCCAACCTATCAGAGTCTCTGACAAATCCTGAATCATCTCCTAGAGATAACATATATGTAGCCTCTGCCCCTGACATCACTGTCACAGATGCTGAGGAAGTGAAGGAATCATCTTCAGTGAAGGAGGAGGTAACTTCAGACCAAGGAGAAAAAGAGGAGGTTGGATACAAGATTGTTCAAGGTTCATCCCAGCGACAACGTCCTAAACTGTTGGATAGCCAAGGCTATGCATACACTCAACACAGTAAAAACAAAGACGGCAGCATAACATGGAGGTGAGTTGTCTTGAGTCATCTGTAAAGTTGCTGGCTTGTTTTAAATTTAAATATTTTTGAAAATTTATTACAAACATTATATCTGATTATTATAATCATTTGCAAACAAAAACAAAACAGAAAATGGCTGTAAGCTATACCAGAATGATAATCAGGTTTTATGAGAAACTTGATTGTAACATTGGACATGTTGGAGTAGGAATCACAGTCTCGTTTCAAATTTGGAGAATGTCCATACGGCATTCATGTTTTTGCTTTTTGTGACTATTTGTTCCCTGTAGATGCTCCATACGGAATCAGAAGAGGTTTTGTGGAGCAGTCATCAAGCAAGTCGGCGACACATTCCATCGTGGTAAGAAGGACCACTGCCATCTGGGGTCACCTGATCAGCTCACCATGGCAACGGTTGTCACAGAGGTGAAATTGGCTGCTTCTTGTCACCTCTTTGAGCCGGCTAGCCACATCATTGACAAAGTGCTCGCCAAGAATGCAAGCAACACCCTTACTCCCTCATTGTGTAAGAGAAATCTGACAAGGACAGCCAATCGTGCCCGTCAAAAGCAATACCCACCGCATCCCACAAACCTTGACTTTGTCTTTCAACATGATGCCATTCCCAAAGGTGAGTTCAACAGAAAGTGTCATGGCTCCTGGGACAATTTCACAGTGCTACTAAGTGCACAATTTTACGTTTAAAAAAAAAGCTTATTTCATGGAGACCCTAAGTGGTGAGCACAGTAAAAGGCAAGCTAACCTCAAAGGATAACATTGCTGAATGTAGTAACGTAATTATTGAAATCTTGTGTGCTCATGCAATTTTCGTCCTTAGCACAGCAACCGTGAAATGTTTGCTGTGAAATATACTTGTTAAGCCATTTTTTTGTGCTATGGTTAGCAAAAATATATGCTTAATGGTAAGCAGTGACATGGAATTGGGCCCTGCTCACATCCAACTGAGGGTCTATTGATGACTGACAGTCTCACAGCTTTGGAGATCAGATTCCAGACTCCAACATTTATTGTCATGCTTAGAACATTCCGCTGCCACTTGGCAAGAGTAGCTATCACTGTTCACATCTACCATTTTATTCTAGGTGCCCTTGTGTGACTCGATATTACTAATTAGTTCTACACAGCTGGGGAGAGATTTCTTAACCTTACAACATTCGAATAACAGATATCTAATTGCACCCAAGATTACACATGAACCAAAAATTCAAGTCTTTCGATACCTGAGTTTTTTATTTCTCTATTGGATCCAGACTTCTTTCGTCGTGAGGTCAAGATAAGGAACAAACGTCATCTCGTCTTCTCCACAACTAACCAACAGTTCCTTCTAGCAAGGAGCGAGAGCTGGTACGTGGATACAACGAGCAAGCTGGTCAAGCCGCCCTTCACCCAACTGTTTGGAATCCATTGCTTTGTGAAGAAAGAGCGAGCAATCAGGCAGGTGGGCACTAATGTTTTTATTTTTGGAGGAGGGAGGGCAGATGCTGCAGGGCAGGACTGACGGGGCAAGGTTTGGTTACCATCTCTCCATCTTGCATTTCTTCATTGAAGATGCCAGCACGGTTGCTACTCTCATCACTTGGGCTCTGTGAGCTCTATGGGCTCAATGCATGAGGACTCCCTCTCTACTAATAAAAGGACAGTCGGGTTCAACCCTTAACTCCATTTTTACGTTGTGTGACTCACAAGTGTAAAAGATCTGTGGGTTTGTGTACATTCAGATAGAAATTAGTTTCATGCATTGGCTCCTTATGTTGGCAGTACATCAAAACAGTGCTGTGACATTACTAGGTTTCAAAGTCCCCTCTGTTTGGTTGTACTCAGAGACTAGGGAGTCCCAAAAGTTTCATGATCAGTGCTTTTTAGGTGTTTCTTCTCTAGTTAATAATGCATATGTAATCCCACATCAAGAATGTCTCTCGCTCTGCTATGTATCACCTGTACAATATAAGCAAAATTAAGCGTTATTTGGGCCAGTGAGCCACGGAGCAAATTATTCATGCACTTGTTGCATCTCGCATAGACTATTGT